TTTCATCCTAGCCTCCCATAAAAATTAAATGGTAGTTCCCTTACGTGAATTATTTTTAGAATTCAATCACGCCAAAGCTACAACTGGAGAAGCAATTGCAAATCTGCTACTTGAATTTATGAATCAAAATGGTATTTGTCTACAAAAATTGAGAGCACAGGGTTATAATGGTTCTAGCATTACACTGCATATGCAATGATTTATACAATTCTGGTAACTGTTATTCACAATATCGTACAAACCTTAACATTTGATTGTTTGATAAATGTACCTTTTTTGTCTAAAGTTTTCTTTTTTTATATTTCTATGGAAGCTGAGATACGATATGTGGTTTGCACTTTCACCCCACATCTCCTGTATCTCTTTCTCGATAACGCGTGAGCTTCCGTGAGGGTGGGGGGTGGGGTATCCCACAGGAGCCCCTTCCAAAGCTACACCCTGGATCAGGACCCCTCGCCGAGGTTCGGGCGTACACTTAAAAAAGGCCTTGCTACGCCACTGGTCTCCTCCCGCTAGATGATTGATGTACCCAAAATCTGTGTTAAGCCATATGCATGGTATTTGTGTAACCAGTTTCTTGGTTCAAAGCAGTCAAACTAAGTACAACTTGAGAGTTTAACAGTGCTATAATTCAATTTTATAACATTGATAACTGTGTCAGAGAGTATTATGTGATAGAGAATCTAACATCATCAGATCCATATGTTATTTGTGACCATGCAGAGATTTCCATCGAGTGTTTATGAACTAGCCTTACCAGTCTTTTCAACTGTTCTAGGCAAGTATATTTGTATTGAACTTTTGTTTCTTATATACAGATGTATTGTGCTTAAACTTCAGGCAAACTAGAGATTAGATGTAACTGGTTTATATAAAAAATAATCTAATTTTCACTTTTTTTTATTTATCTTAATTTGCATATTCAGAAAACAGTCTCATGAGATATTAAAGTATGGATTTATTTTCATCATCTTTATTGGAATAGAATTGTTTTATTTTTATTTATTTTATAATTGTCTGTCTCTTATTTTTGTTTGTTCTCAAAACATACCCCACTTATTGCAGAATAATTATTAAGTAGTTTCATGATCTAAAGATAGCCAAGAAATTTAAGGGCCCTGCCATAAAGAGCGAAATAATTTTAATTTTTTTTTCTTTCAATTTAGAATTCTGACAATCATATAGAACAGTATATTTTATATGCTGAATACTCCTTGCATCAAGTGCATAATATGGATATTTTAAATAGATTTTACAGGTTTTGCATCTCAATATACATTACTGATTTAAAAAGTTGAGAAATGACACTTGTTGACATTTAGTGCAATCTAAGGACGTAGTCATGTAAGGTTTAAAAAATTTTGTGAAGATGTTTCAGACTCCTTGGGGTTTTCCTACGATACAGGGTAAAAATTTTGCCCCATATCACCAACTTTTCCTAGTATATAAGACTTCAATAGCTCATTAAAGATTATTTACCAAAATTAAACAGATCTTAGATTATTTTTCTTACGATTTGAGACCCAAATAATGCAATTTTTAATTTAAGGTAAAGTCTAACTCACTTTTCCCACTATTTTCAACAAAATTAAATATCTTGAAAAGGAGTTCCATACCTATCAATACTTTTAACTTATTTTTCCCCCTTTAACTAATGCTCTTCTGGTTTATAATATCAATTTTAAACTTCAGATCTTTTTAATTTCACCTGACTACATCCTTAATTCAGATTTCAAATGATTCTAAATGGATAAACAGTTACTTTGCTTGTTTTACATATATATTTATAGTTTTAAAATAAGTACAGCATTTGATATTTCCTATTACTGACACCTTTCTTTGTTTCTTTTATTTGCATATCTAAATACTGAGGAAATGAAGACATATTGCACCTCCTGTATGTACATTAGGTTCATCAGACTTACAATCAAAGACGATTAGACACTATCAAGTTCTTCATTTTTCATAAGATCATTAAAGATGTGGCTACAGCTGGACTTATATGTCAATGGGACGAACCGAACAATTTCCAGACGTTATTATTAAACTTTACACATATTCAACTGGAGCTCAGTCATACCTACATATACACATAAACATTGGCATTATTCTAATTATAGTATCACCAGTTGGATAATCTTTAACAATATTTCATCTTCCATCTGTGGTTAAAAGCACAATCAGCAACTAGTCCCACATTTATCAAGTTCAGAATTTTCTCATGTACGAACAGGATTACAACAGACATGACTACCATAATTTGATACTAGAGCCTCTACTTTCCGACATGGACCCAAGAGTATGTTCAGATTTGTTATCTATGTCGACATTATTTCTCCAACCATTCAAACAGATCATGTAGGCTATACCATTTTAGCATATTGATTACAAGGCAGCACTACAGCCTCATCAGTGCCCAACGAGTCCAGAAGTATTTGAGTCCTAACCAAATTGTAAACTTACTTGGGACATTGCTATTTCAAGCATACTTGAATTTCTAGAATCTGACAACATACACTTTTAAAATAGACTACTTTGCATTTAGAATATGTCAAAACCAAGGAACCATACAGCTTGCCTATTACTTTAAAGATATTATAGAGAATGTAGTATGTCTTAAACAGGTGTTTTTACCATTTTTTACAATAGCAGAGACAGTATGTACATATGTTTTATTGCTCTATCATGTCTATACACAGTACATAGTGAAGAATTTACTGTTGAAACTTAATATGTTAAGGCATAGATGTATAAACCCACATCTATGGTTAAAGATATTTAAATTTGGAATACAGTGATGTTAACTGTAGAGTATACATGCATTTCAAACTTTTATTTACACAACCAATGTTTACATTGCAGACAGCAGTACATTCTTAAGCATTCAGTTTGACCCCATAATCTAACAGTACTTTATAGCTGTGAACTTTGAACTTTAGACAAACACATCGAAAGAATTATTAAATATATAACTGCATTGATGAGAGTTTCGAATTTTGAAAAGAATTGTTTATTAACTGCATAAACTATCAGTTTTGATAGACCTTAGCTAATCTACTAGCACATGGGCTATCCCCCGTGCAAACCTAGCACACTAACAGCTACAGATGAGACGCCAAGTCTCACCCCCTCGTGGAGAACCCTCGCTCCACTTTCCCCAACTGGCATATTGTTGTACAGGCAGTTTCTTGCTCTTTGAATTACATTTTGAATGCATCTCCTATGATGTTCAAAATCTACATAAATCAATCTAGTGTAGCTTTCTCAATTCAAAATTTTGATATTGAATATCATTTTTATAGCATCTCATCATTCAATTACTGATAATCATCTTTATAGAATTCTCATCATTGAATTACTGAATATCCTTTTTATAGCATTCTCATGTTCGAACTCTCTGAATATTGAATATCATTTTTATACTATTATCATGTTTAAAACTTTGAATATTGATTATTTTTTTTTATAGCATATCATTTTGAATATTGTATTTATACATAGTGTACATTATATCATGTTATAACATTCTCTTATTACTACAGGTAATTGTTACACTATATTGTGAATAGTACGTATTGTTGTGTAAGTTATCTTATTCTTTTAGTGTTTTTTTTTTTACTCTCATGACATTATTGAAGGTATAATAATCCAAAATCCTTGGGGTCACTCATCTGTAACCATCTGAGTTTTTGGACCTTGGTGGAATTTTATGACATGGTCATTTCTAAAATTTCATTCATCCCAAAGCATTTCGGGAACAAATTTTATCAAATTAATTCAGCGCCAGATTGTTAGACCCTGCTACTTACTACTTGTAATAGCACCACATGGGCTTTCCCCATGCACACCTTGCACAACCCGTCTGCAAATGAGACGCCTAACCTCATCCCCTTGGTGGAGACCCCTCGCTTCACACTTCTGGCTGGCGTATTGTCGGGCACGCAGGTTCTTCCTCACATTACAGGTTGCAATTTGACTTGCTCGGCAGGAACTCCTAAATTCTTAATTATACTGAGTGTTTCTCAAGGGCCAAAATATTTTGTTACTGAATTTATTGTATTAATAAAAATTATTCATTCATAGATTCTGTCTGCTTTGGGCCAGTATGATTTATTGAGACTATGTTTTGGTTTACACACAGATACCCCCTTTCACACTTATGCTAACATTAAATTATTTGGGAGTTGGTTTAGATCTACAATTCTTAATTTCACTGATGGTGAGTTTATAAAATATTTACTTGTTACAATTTACTTTTGACTTAAAACTCACCATTGGGGACTTTGTGGATTTTGATATTAAATTTGAGTTTGGCTATCAAGAGAGTTACATCAGAACTTAGAAAACATTGGATCTACAAGGATTTGATTCATTACCATACAAACAGAAAATTATTTACATACCAAGAGACAATTACAGATAATAAAACAACACCTATAAAAACTTCAAAAGTATGTTTACATTATGGGACAACAATTAAAAAAGCACAAAACTTACACCATACACAACCACAAAGATAGTTTTGTTTGTATAAACAGAAAAAGACTTAATTTTGCTTATCTGACATACATTGTAATGCAGCATCAGAATGTATGGTATGTGTTTTCTGCATCAACGGTTTTGAATATTTGCCACTTTATAATCCAATAAAAAAAAGCACAGAAAAAGGACAAAGCTGCACAGAACCAGGTAAAAGTGCACATAATCGGGACATTTTTCGCATCATCAGCAAATGATCAGGACATTGTCGTTTTTCGAATTCCAAATAAAATACTTTTCGAAAAACGTAGAAGATATCGATGAAAAAGTAATAAACATAATGCAACTCTGTTACATTGTAAACAAATCCTCCTGCACAAAATCAGGACCCACCAGCATCGATCAGAACCAATGAAATCACCATCACAGGATATGCCACAGGACAACTTAAGTCATAGTGTAATTGTACTGTACAGTATCGTGATTACAACGACAAAAAAATACAGTAAAGCAAAACAATACTCAATAATCAAAGTTTATTTTCTGAAATCAAAACTAATCCAAAAATTAATATATCCACAAAGGACTCAAATAAAATAAACATGTAAACAAATCAATTGAACTGTTCACTTTCCAAATTTAAATATGCTTGTAAATAAATTCATGTTCTATAAATGCTAATCATTATACATGTGAGTGAATGAAAATTCAAAAGCCAGTGTTGTTTGAATATTTAGACACTACAGGAGCTATGTGACCAAAAAGGACTTAAAAAATTGCAAAATTCAGTCAATCTTTTTTTTCTGAGGGAGATGGAATCTTAATATTTTTTTATTTATAAATGTGGCATTTCGGAAATATATATGTTATGAATCAATCAGTACCGCAATAACTGCTGAGCTGATAAGAGTCAGAAAAGCTTATTTCATCAACTGTCAAACGTCCTCATTTTGGTACATTTAGCGTTAAAAAGAAATCTACATGTTTATCCCCATTTGTCATATCGGATAATTTTTAGCTACTGTTGATGTGAAAAAATGAAAAAGTTGATCCTGAACAATGTTATTGTTACGAAAATTTAGCAAGTAATAATTGTGAGGTATCACATTCTAACCATCGTATATACATAGTTATTTTTTAATGTAAGAACTTACTGCAACAAAAATGGATTTGACGTCATACACATTAACAGGTAAATATATCAAGCCCAATTTATAAGTTTGATTGTGAAATCGTCTGCCTGGTTACTCCAGTAAACGTAAGAGGGTGTGTTATTAAATGTTCAATACCATGTGGAAACATGGCTGTTCCATTTTTAGAAAAATTAAAGTTAACTTTATGAATAGTTTCCCAACAGGATTTAGATGGTTCAATTCCAAATTTATCTTTAACCTGAGATAATATATGGTCTGCGATACCAATACATCCACTTAGTCCTGTTGATCGGATACCACCAACTGTCAACCAGTTTCTGAAAATAATTATTAGAATTGTAACATTTTTCCAGGCTAAATGATACTAAGAACGAAAATAATTATTTTAGACAGTACTGATAAAGACTTTAAATGTCAAAATATGTGTATCCAGTAACAACTAACCAAAACAATTTATTTATTTTACTGATAAAATTTAATTTTTTGTGGACTTACAAACATGTAAATAGAGAAAAATGGTATGTTAATAATTATTTTGTGCTTATAGTTTTACATCTCAATGAAATGAAAACTATCAAAAAAAATTGACAAAAAAAACCCTTTAAATTGATTACATACTATTTAAGAATGTCAACCTTTTTTATTAAAGAAATGGTCAGTTTTATAGCCCTTATTTTTCCTTAAAAGTTTAGATAATAATCGCTGAACGATTAAAACTAGCTCTTGAAAATGTTAACAAAGTTGTTTAATGACAGATAAGACAAGTCTCTTTTTTAACTGTTACTAAAATTCCCAGTAGCGTCATTTCATGTGTGCATATTGAGATTATAACTACATAATTGTGTTTTCTCTGATGAATGATACTAACTTGACTGCTCGAGACTGTAATAATTTTAAGATTATGATTTTGAATTCAGTTTTGGAATTTGATGCGACTGTCATACAAGTGAGAGGTTTTGCGCTATAAAACCAGGTTCAATCAACCATTTTCTACATAAGAAAATGACTGTACCAAGTTGTTTGATGTGTTTGTGCTTTTGATTTTGCCATTTGATTAGGTACTTTCCGTTTTGAATTTTCCTCGGAGTTCAGTATTTTTGTGATTTAACTTTTTACCAGCATAACAATTTCAAAAGTAAGGATGTTTTTATTGTAAATATTGAAATATCTGCAAGTTCTGTATATGCGGACATGTTTATGTTAGAAGTAACAGCCAACTTGATTGGTGTATAAAACTTTAACTGATTTTAAGAGAATTTTAGAAAAAGAGTTTAATCTTTAGAATTTTCCAAAACGGTAATGAAAGTGGAAGCCTTATTCCATCTGACGCTATTGCCTTCTTAATTACACTGGATATCATACCATTTAAGATTTTTTTTTAACTCAAAGCCTCTGTCGTAATTGACATATTGACTAATCTAAAGGAATATAAGGTATAATTTCAAAAGAAGACGTCGCATCTCAAAATTGATAGTGACCGAGCTTAGATATTATGTTGGCCAACAGTTTCATTGTTGGTGGACGACACATTAAAGTCAAAGCAATAACTTAAATTGACCAACTGAGTGACAGATCGAACTAAATAAACAAAATCTATCGTTTGAGGTAAAGATTTAACCTCCAATAAAAATTTGCCAATAAGACATACAAAAATCGTATATTTCATTCGACCATTCAAATGTTTTGTTTTCAAAGTCTCACCTGTCCAGTCTTGCAATAATTTGGTAGTCTTTGTTTTCAGTTGCTGGTCGTACTCCCGTGTACATATGTACAATATCATGCTTCGACAACGATGGTACTGTTTTCTTCCCATAATTCCGTAGTCTTGTAGTTATGCTCGAATCAATCGTAGGAGAAGCATGTCGGTCTTCAGTTTCCTCTGCAGTTGGTCCAATAATTACATTGTCATATACTATAAAATAACATTTAACAGTATTAACAATAATTAGGACATGTATACTATTTTAAATCAAGGAACTTTACCTATAGATTTTGTAGCAGAAAAAAAATGGGAAGGTATTCTTAATAAAGTTGTAGAAAATTGGAAAAAAATACACTTGTGTGTTACCAAGGTTTCAAAAAACACTAGGTTATGTTGGTTTCAATATAGAATTATTCATTATATCTTAGGGACTAATGCTGTACTCTTTAAAATGAAACTTGTTAACTGTAATTTGTGTACATTTTGCAAGGAAGAGCCTGAAACTATAGAACATTTACTTTGGGGTTGTCATATTGTAGCCGACATTTGGCACAATCTAAATTCTTGGATTTTCGATATAGTTCATATAGAAATTCCACTAAATTTGAATATTGTCATTTTTGGCCTCTATGAAAATTATAAATTGAATTATATTAAAAATGAAGTTATCTTACTGACAAAGTATTTCATTTACAGATGTAAGATGCAAGATATAAAACCTCATATTAAAGGTCTTCAAAATTACATAAAAGAAAACTTGATTTTAGAGAAACATATTTCTTCAAAATATTTAAGTATGGAAGAACACAACTTGTACTGGAACCCCTGGGCTAAGGTCATTAATTAAATTTGAATTAGGTTAATGTATATACATATGTGTATATGAGTATTTGAAAGTACTTGTATACTGTTATACTATATGCATGCTCATATATTTCTTGCACTACTATTACTATTATTACTATATTAATGAAAATGTTATTACTATACTTCATCCATAGATTTCATAGTGTTAGTCCATAGAATGCTTATCATGCTTATTTATTTCACTTGCTTGATTATTGTACCACAAGATAAATATATGTTGATACCTGTAAATTCATGAAGAAAAAAATAAATTATAAAAAAAAAATAATTAGAAGAATATAGATATAAATTTAGCGCTCATCGATAATACGCATTAATACAAACAATAAAATAACAAATTTGTATTTCCTATCTTGAAGTAGTTATACATTTTTATATATGTATGGTCCCGATTTCCGTTCGGACGTGTATGTTACCTACATCAGATACGATTGACATTGAAAGTTTGTTAAGTCAAGTGAAAAATACATTTGGGAGCTTGAATATGAAATAATATGGAACAGAACTTATGAAATCATGTATGGTAAGTATATGGTTGACTGCAAGTTAACCATCCAAATTATCTGTTCTTACTAAAACTGTCTCATTGTTTTTATTTTATTCGGCCAAAATTTGATATTTAAGTCGCTAACAAATGATAATATAGGTACCATATATGCCAGGTTTAACACGAGTAAAATGTTCAAGGGTTTATATCAAATTTGTCAATATCTGCCAATACATAAGCTTTCAGAATTTAAAAACAAAAGGTCAGATAGTACAAATGCTGCAGGCAAATAGTTTCCAGAAGAACAAAATTAAATGATGTTTAAAATTAAAGTATTAATTAAATCTGTTGAATTTGTACATTATTTAATTGAGAATTAGAATTTATAAACGTCGTTAAACTTTAATTGATGGTTGTGCATCCATGTCATTAAATGATAAAAGAGGGACGAAAGATACCAGAGTGACAGTCAAATTCATAGATCGAAAACAAACTGACAACGCCATGGCCAAAAATAAAAAGACAAACAGACAAATAATAGTACAGATGACACAACATAGAAAACTAAAGACTAAGCAACACGAACCCCACCAAAAACTGGGGGTGATCTCAGGTGCATATTGCATAATAAGTTGAGGTTTAAAATGTCTGATATCAAAATGAACAAAACCAGCAGTCTCTAAAATATCAAAAGTGCACACTGACGTCAATTCTTTACATTCCTTTTTGTTTAATAACGTCACTAACCTACTTTCTGCCAAGCATTGCACTTTTCTTTTCGAAATATGCAGTTTTATAAAACACTAACATAATAAACATAACTCCACAAATCTTACGAATATTTAGAATATGGCAATGTGTTTTGTCAAATGTAAAACAAACGTAATTGTTCTATGTACTTTATTTAAATTAGAGGCAATAAACCCATTAAGACGATACAAATCACAGAAGTAAACATCATATTTAGATTAAACAATGACCTTTAGTTCAAACTGAAAATATTTAACCCAACCAGCACTGTGTATAGAGTGTGTTTCCATTGTTCATAACTTGCTTTCGCTACAGGTCGAACGGTTTTTTTTTATAGTTTTGATGATAATGAGAAAATGCAAATTTGGTCTTCGTTAAATCATTTATATTAATAAGATGACATGTAAAGTAATGTAGATAGCACCAACAGGCAAATGATGATTGTCCATAATGAACAGGTGTTCACACTAAACCCAAGTCTCTAAACGGGTTTTCCAAATGAAAATTCGTATGCAGATAATTTTATCGATGGATCTAATAGACTATGATTAGCATTAAATTCTCCAAAACCTGTTTGTAACTAAGGGAAGCTGCATTTTAATTTCCGATTTGGTATTTTTTTTATAGTAAAAGAAAACCCTTTTACCTACATATATCATCTTCTTGAAATACAATTTTATTCCTATCTGAAGCGTACATTAAACCTTGAAATGTATGGTATTTACCTTTGACGCAGTTCATATGATATAATAAAACTAGTCAACAAGTTTTATTTCATTGACAATAAAGTAGAGACAGGCTCTGACATAGACTACTGACTTAGCGTTTTCGTTCATGAGTACTCGACCATCTTCTTTTCACACTTTTAACATAATATGCAATATATTGCCTTACCAGATTTGAATACTATTACACCTTTTGTTATTTCTGTCGGAACAGGAAGTATGCTTGAAGATATGACATCTTTAGCAGTTTTGCTAAATATCAAATATTGTCCTTTTCTTGGTTTGATTCTGAAAAATATAACTTTAGGTTAATTTGTCGGAATAAATTTACATCAGTCCAAATTAAAACAGCAGTAAAGAAGTTTGAGAAATAATGACTTCATGATTCAACATTGATAAAACTTTACACTTTGAACTACATAACGAAAATATATCAGAAAATATGGTGAAAGGACATTTGAAAGGAATGTATCATAGTTAAAATATTGTCATTTTTTTTAACGTTTGTGAATTACTATAGTAAGCCATATTTTGAACTCAGTAACTTCACTTGCAAATTCACGTTATATCTTCATTAGAATCAAACTAGCTAGAGGTATAGGGGGAGGGTTGAGATTTCACAAACACCGTTTAAACCCATGTTTTTTGTGCCTGTCCCAAGTCAGGAGCCTCTGGCCCTTGTTAGTCTTGTATGTTTTTTAATTTTAGTTCATTTTTTATGTTTTGGAGTTTAGTATGACGTCCATTTTTACTGAACTAGTACACATTTTTGTTTAGGGGCCAGCTAAAGCCCGCCTCCGGGTGCGGGATTTTCTCGCTGTGAAGACCCATTGGTGGCCTTCGGCTGTTTTCTGCTCTTCGGTCGGGTCGTTGTCTCTTTGACACATTCCCCATTTCCATTCTCAATTTTATTTAAATTGTAAACCAAAGTTAACACAGAAAAAATACTCCTATTACATCTGTTTTGAGATGTAAAGTTGAATTTGAATAGAAGGAATGGAATTTATTGACTATTCAATAAACATTTCATATAATTTAGTACAGTAAAGCATGGAAATTCAGAAACTTGTCATTTCTATATTTTTCCGTCTGATTTTTTTTCATAGGGCGAAATGAACAATGAGCTGTTAAATTTGGGAATGAATTAAACCCTAATTTCTATTTACAATGTATGTACTAGTTACAAACATAATAATCACTGCAAAGTTAAATCCAACAAACACTTTTAAAGATCTGAAATCTGAAAAAGCTTACAAAAAGGACTAAACTTATTTGAAAGAGTTCATACAGGAGCCTCTAATGAAATGAAGCTAGCAATATCCTTCAACTTCAAGTTCCACTAAATATATAATGTCCTCTAACTAAATAATTCAAAGATTGGTGACTATGTTGAACACATTTATTCCTTCGAACTAGAAATAAAGCATACATCAGATAAAGTTCACTCTGCCCCATATTTTGACTTACATCTTGAATTTGACAATGAGGGTCGGTTGCGAACAAAGCTTTACGACGAAAAAGATGATTTCAACTTTCCAAATGAGAACTTGCCTTTTCTAATTTACTAACATTCCAGCAGCGCCTGCATATGGAGTATATATCTCCGAAATGATAAAATATTTCAGAGCTAGCATTTCCTATCATGATTTCCTTGATAAAAGGATGCTGCTTACAAGAAAGCTATTGAAACAAGAGTTCCAAGTTGGGAAGTTGAAATCATCCATTCGAAAATGTTATGGACGCCATCACGAGTTGGTTGACCGTTATAGAATATCTGTTTCTCAGATGACGACGGATATGTTCCAATTGTCGTAACCACAATCCCTTCCTCTTTTCCTCGAATGGACCTAGCGAATTAGACTTATCACTGGGTTTGTACTTACATGAGCAACACGATGGGTGACACATGTGGAGTAGGATTTACTTACCCTTTCGGAGCACCTGAAATTACCCCTGGTTTTTGGTGGGGTTTGTGTTGCTCAGTCTTTAGTTTTCTATATTGTGTTTTGTGTACTTTTGTTTGTCTTTTCGTTTTTTTGCATTGTCAATATAAAAATAAGGAGATGTGGCATGATTGCCGATGTGACAACTATCCACCAAAGTTCAAATGAAGTGGATGTAAGCAATTTTAGGCAACCGTACGGCCTTCAACAAAGAGAAAAACCAATACCGTTTACTTTTTCCAACATAAAAAATATGAAACATTTCAATTGAGAAAACTAACAGCCTAACTTATAACAAAACAATTTACAAAATATGCATATGACAGACAAGAACCAACGACAACATATGAACTACAGGCTCCTGACTTGGTACAGTCACATACGAATATTGCGGTGTTATACATGTTTATCAGCGCTCAACCCTCCCCTAACCTGGGACAGTACTGTTACAGCACAACATAAGAACAGTTTGTTTTCGATTCATTAATTTTAATATCCCTTTGGTATCTTTCGCCTCTCTATTAGAAAACAGAAAAAGACGTTTATACTCTTTCTAAAATTTAAATTTCTTTTGTCATCCCAGTTAGTTACGATTACTTTTTCTTGATATTGACACATATTAACGACACAAAGAAAGGCGAGAGATTCCAAAATGGACACTCAAAATTAGGATATATGATGAACGTAATGATTTCAGCTTTCCAATAAGCAACTTCCCATATCTCTGCAGTATCGTTAGTAGTTTAAATATTTGAATCGATACGATATACGCGTGGATATCCACATTGTACGGATTTCATTAACAGGGTTGTGCTCCTTGCACCAAAAAAGCTCCAGCAAGGTTATGAGGAATAACGTGTGATAATGTCCCTACATAAGTTTTAAGTTAACCATCATGAATTTGTTAATCGATGCAATTTGTCTATATATCAACCCAAAAGCGACATGGTTTCGCATTAAATGCTTAACTCTATACACTATGTCACTTCCCTCTGTTCTTTGATCCAATTATAGGTGTTTGGGTATTCTTGGTTACTAAAAGGACACATCTATAAACATTGTATATTAAAACAGATATGGGTTCTTAATCAATAAAATTAACGGTACCAGTAATACTGCACCAGATGCGCATTTCCACAATAAATGTCGAGTGATGCTCGAGGCCAAATTATCTGAAAATCCAAAATTTATAAAAAAAAGAAGAGCTTATAAACCAAAAAATACAAAAAGTATAGCTAAAGCCGTGCAAGGAATTAGAGTTTTTCATGAGGGAGATATATTCCTTTATTTAATTCCTTATTTAAAATAATTTCCAAAATTTGTAACAGCAAATTTTAAGACACAATATCCGTATTTTCATGACAGTACCGAAGTAATCATACCATGAATAAAAAAAAATACACAGTATCTGTCGCCTTTTGTGCTTTTTCTCTTTCGTATGAGTGGATCAAATTCCAATAGGAAAGCTACGGTCAAAAGTTTATAGTATATAAACAACAGAACCAAATAACCTTAGTTTGATTGACTAAAACCGTCAAAGATCAACACTGCAGAAGGGTCTGTGGAATCTGAGTTCGAGTTAAAAATACCAAACTCCAAACTTGGTAATGTGTCATTTGTATAAATAAGTATTGTTACTGCAGGTGCAAGAACTATCGTCAGAATGATTCCTCCATGGTCAAACCTTACCTAAATGTGTTCACATTAAAATGTGAGATGAAATCGAGACGCTTTTTGAATATATATTGTCAGAAGGACCGTAGAAATTCAAAGGTTTGAAAAACACTCTGACGAAGAATATATATCTAGAGTAGGTACCGTTGGACCATTGCATTTAAAAACAATGTGACTACAAAATATATGTATGTTTAAAGAATGATTTACAGTCAAACCTGCTATAAATGTTACCTTTGGTAAGCGAAAGCCTATCTTGGCAAGTCACCCTTTTCTTGTCCCGTTATAGTAATACATATTCATTTTAAACCTCAATAAAAAAATCATCTCTCCTAAAAGGTAAATTTTCTATGCTCACGAGGATGACCTTTATACACAGGTTTTTTCTGTATAGAAATTAATAAATGGAGATATGAGCTCTATGCATTGAGGCAAAAACCAAACCACATCAATGATTGGTAATTAAAGAGAAGTCAGTCATATTTCTTTTTTGCATTTAAAACTGCAACTTTACATTTCTAAATATCTTTTTAAAGTCATGACCTTTTATTCAAAAAGATATGAGGTCAAATGAGATTTCAATCGTACCTATGCTTTTTAATAAATTATCATGTTCTAAAATACAGTTGTGGAATCCAGGCGGTGCGACTTTTCATCAAAAGATTACTTGTCATAAACAACACGAGAGATATTACTTGTGAGTCAGAATCTGTTATCCCTTTACAAGCGAGTTCAAACCCAGGTTTTGGTGGGGTTTGTTTTGCTCATTTTTTTTATTTTGTGAGTTTTAAGTTTTTTTGTCTTTTGTTGACTAGTTTTTCTTTGAATCATTTTTCTGTTTGATCATTTTTCTGTTTGATCGTAGTATTGTAAATTTTTTGTTCGACTTATGGTATTTTTCTTCTTTTTCTTTATACAACATTCGCAAACTACAAAATCGTTCAAAATTCCAATATCTATTACTTGTAAATGAAGGGAAATAAGTCTACAATGTCCTTGGGGAAACTTTTTTGTTTATCATTAATTAAACATGTTTCATTGTATTTACTCAAAAAGTTAGAAGGATTCTTCAGTAAGTCTAAGCTAAAGTCTGTCTGGTTTATATCTCCTGTTTATGTTATAACTACAGGCGCCGAAATACCAGCTGCAGAGATCAGCTAATTAAACACATAAAATTATTTTATTACTGTAATAAATTGTTATCGAAAATCATTTTAATTATCTAATGCAATTCAAATGCCAGGAATGAAGAAGTAACTGAAGATACTACCCTACAGTATACATGTCCTTTGATGATTTCAGTAACATCCCTAAGACTAGTTTAAAATGAACTTGATATACATGTATTGCCAAGTACTCAACTTTTTCTTCTTACTAATTTTAGCTTAAATTAGTAGTATAAAGAACACGTGTTTGTACTTTTATAATTTACTAGGGTGATGTATAATCGCTTCCGACGATTAGAAATTGACCTGATCTTGCATGATTACATTTACAAAAACAAAATTAGTTTTTCTGAGCAAGTCTTCAGTTTTTGAGTACACTCTTCCTATGGTAATTTAAAGACTTGATGTTTATATGTTTAGTATTTCTAGTAAGGAGCTTCTTGAATATTATTCATTTCTGTCTGTATTGATTTTTAGAATATATTCTCTTCGGACCAAATTTACC